CGCTGTGCCACTAGGGGGCAATAACATCGCATCTGATACAGAGTGACATAAATAATGAATACTCCTAGAATAACCGATAAGGGGCTACATCCCCTCTTTTGAATAAATTATTTTTAATGCAATAATGCACCAAACTGCTCATTGGCCCAATACTTTATTACAGGGTTTCTAATAATACATGAGTTATACGAAACAGTGTGAATAAAAATGCAGTCAATAATTACATAATTTACTTATTTTACTATTACATAATATATACATCTGAGAGCTACATAACTGTTATGTAATAGGCATCAGCGACCGATGACCTCATAGTACAACGAGGTATCACTAGAGAGCGCGTGGTTAGGGCCACGAAGTGGCACCAAATGGCGAGCGTTCAGATAGTTTGCGAACACACCACCAGGGAGTGATGTAGATCAACATGACATCAGAATCGTAAAATTAATATTTTATCTAATTTACATGAAATTATCACAATTACAGTTCTTTGCATCGAATACTGTATCAGGGAAAAAAACAACAACAAAAAAAACACGTGAGATTACGTAATATGTGGCCCTTACCAAGTCGGTTATATAACGGTTAAAAATATCTTATTTTATTAAACATTTATCTAGCTAGTATCTAAAAACCTAACATAATACATAATTTCAGGAACAACACGTAAAATTATCTTGTTTTATTGACTAATTTTGTAGGACAAAAATAATTATAATGAAACTAAAAATATATATGCATTTCATGAACCCACTGTCAAAATGATACTTTTAAATCGAAAGTCAAAATTATAACAAAAATAGTTACAGTGAAGCTAAATATATACGTATTTCATGTGTCCACTACCAAAATGACACTTACATTCCGAGAGCCAAAAATCTTAATGAAATACTCGTTCAATCAATGCATACATTTCTGCTTATTTTATTTCTGTGTCGTCTCGACTGAATTTCGACTAATAATCTCTTTCTTCGCCTATAAAATCGCTTGTTGGTTTTTCATTTCATTGCTCATAAAGTTGTAATGAACTGTGGAGATGTGTTTTAAAATATGCAATCATCTGAAAAGAATCCATATGAGCCCTTAAGCACTAAACATTCGTCATTTCTTTTGCGAAATTACTTCCCGCTGTTGAGTTGTAATAAAAAAAAATTCATTGAAAGCTTGATAAACGAATAAGAACTTTGTTTATATAAAGAAGTTGATGTTTCCCTAAATAGCCGTAAGGGAGCTACAAGCTAACTTGTAAATACTTCATCTAAAGCACTCAATAGAGTTCTATTCCCTTTTGGAAATTTGAGTAAAATAAAATATTCAAAATATCATAGACGGCGGGTCTCTACTTTATAAACAAAACCAACAAAAAACCCTTGAGAAAAATAAAAGATTCAGGATTATTGCTTCAAGCATTGAAACAAATAACCTTAGGTAAGGCTACACACGTGACTCTATTTCAAAGAACTAACTGTGGTTAAGGCTACACACGTGACTCTATTTCAAAGAAATAACTGTGGTTAAGGCTACACACGTGACTCTATTTCAAAGAAATAACTGGAGTAAGGCTACACACGTGACTATTTTAAAGAAATAACTGTGGTTAAGGCTACACACGTGGTTCTATTTCAAAGAAATAACTGGAGTTAAGGCTACACACGTGATTCTATTTTAAAGAAATAACTGTGGTTAAGACTATACATGTGATTCTATTTCAAAGAAATAGTCATAGGTAAGGCTACACACACGAATCTAGACAGCACTCGAAGTTCCTGAAATCTATTCATAAATTCATGTTCTCACAATCCGGCATTTGACAGTCAGGGTTGGAGATTTTTTTTTCTGTTAACATGGTAACGTTTTTCTTTTTTTCCCTTCCTTCTATTAACAAAGGAGACAGTGTTTCACTCCATTCCCCTTCAATTCAGCACTGACTGTGAACTAAACAGATAAATATATGTAAGGCTACACACATGACTCTGATACAGATGTATAAATAACACACGTGGTTCTATTTCAAAGGAATCTGAGAAGAACTACACACGAGACAACCATGGCTACGGCTATACATATAACTCTCATTCAGACAAGTAACTGTTGGTAAACTGCACACACGATTCTAAATGAAACAAACAACTATCTACATTATAACTCAAACAAAT